CAAGAGTTAGATATTCTTCATCTCTGTTTTCCAGATGGACAGACTGGGGTTCTGAGGACTTAGGAGGTACCCAGTGTCACCAGGCCAGCAGGGAAGAGCTGGACTGAGTCCCAGAGTAGCTAGGACTCTGGACTGTTCGGTGAAGATTTTCTTTGTAAAACAACTCATTAAATGTTAGGATTAACCGACTCCTTTCCAGTCTCTTCTTGTCCCTATTTGAAAAGTCTGAATTGTGTCCGTACTATGTGTAAGGCACGGCACTAGGTGCTAGGGCTTTCTGGCAACGAAGTCAGACACAGCGCCTGCTTTGATGGGATCCATCCTCTAGGCAGGGAAAATACTAACTTGAACAGTTGCAGGACAGGGTGATAAAGGTTACGACAGGGGAAAGACAGAGCACTGTGAAAAGACAAGGAGCATGTCCAATTTTGTCTGGAGTGAATTGGTGAAGATTCCACAGAGTTTAATTTAATATGAACCTTGAAGTATGGGTGGGAGCTCATCAGAAATGTGGGGAAAGACGTTCAGGGAAGAGAGAAAAGGAGGGGTGCAGAGGGGAGAGGGTGTGTGGGGCCTTGGAGAGAGACCCGATTTGGTGGGACTGGTTTCCAAGTATGAAGGGGAACGAGGAGTTGTGAGGCCTGAGTTGTGAGCAGGGAGAAGTGCATCGGTGGAAAAATTCGGTGGAAACAGGAAAGGGTGAAACCCCACTCAACAGAAGTGAGTGGAGCCACCCAAGTGGAGATCCTTCTGGGAGAAGAAAACTTCCCAGGCAGGCCAAGGCTTGGGTTTGGAGGCCAGCTCCAGCGTTTACCAGCTGGTTGTGCATAGCATATTTCCCAACTCCCTGACCCTCACGCTCCTTGTCTGTGACCCAGCTGTTATGGTTGTTGTGAGGACTAAACAAGAGGAAGTTTGTCATAACCTAAAATGTCAGTTCATGTTAAAAAGTTGGAAGCCCTTGATCACACCCTCCAGAGTCCAAGATTTAGGTGGAAGACCGTGGCAAGGCCGTATTCCAGGAGGCCATGGAGAGCTCAGTGCTGCATGTTCTAGGAACAAGTTGAGCATTTGCTGAGGCTCGCCCTAGCATGCCCATCTCCTACTCACCTGAGCCTCCTGGCCAACACCAGGTGTCAGTCCAGGGGAGCCAGTCTGCAGAGGACAGGCTGCAAGCTCAGGAGGACAAACACTCTGGCACACGGATCTAACAGACATTACTGTGATTTTTTTTTGAGACAGAGTCTCACTCTGTCACCCGGGCTAGAGTGCCATGGCATCAGCCTAGCTCACAGCAACCTCAAACTCCTGCACTCAAGCGATCCTCCTGCCTCAGCCTCCCGAGTAGCTGGGACTACTACAGGCACGTGCCACCATGCCCAGCTAATTTTTTCTCTATATATTTTTAGTTGGCCAATTAATTTCTTTCTATTTTTAGTAGAGACGGGGTCTTGCTCTCGCTCAGGCTGGTTTCGAACTCCTGACCTTGAGCGATCCACCTGCCTCGGCCTCCCAGAGTGCTAGGATTACAGGTGTGAGCCACTGCGCCTGGCCAACATTACTGTTAATGTACTCCATGAATGGTGCAGTCTCAGGCCCACCAGAAGATAACAGGAGTGGGGGTGCCTATTCCCATAGAAGACACAGTGTTTTTCTGCCTTTCCAAGATGACATCCTGCCTGTTTGGGCAAAGTCTTGGGATGGAGCTTATGAAGGCTTCTGTACCTCCCAGCCATTTAACCCTGACACTGCAATAAAAATATAGTTGCACCAGCTACCTTTAGTTAGCCTCTCACCTGGATCTGACACCCGGGTTCTTACTATGGCCTCAGTGTCTTCCTGCTGCATGCGCCCTAGCCTAGCTAACACTGCTGATGCATTGGTTGACAGCTGGTGTGTGGCAGGAGCACTCAGTTATACCCAAGGTGTAGCAGGAAGTGAGCATGGTGGCCTGTCCAGGGCCTGAGCAAGGCTGAAACCGGCGTTCACTGCTCCACTGGCATCCACCTGTCCCACTCCTTTGTGTGGGGTTAATAAAAGCACTGTGCACTGAAATGCCACCATTTTAATTTGGATACTCTGGTAGTATCAAAAGGACCCCTAGAAGACTGTAAACTCCTAATTATTTTTTGCAAACACTCTGAAACAAAATCCACTGAATTATGAATACTATATTTATTTTGGTGGTGGAGTTACAAGGGACTCCATTTTGTCCACCATTCTTGTAACATCAGTACAATGACAAAGAAGATCCCCCCTTTTTAAAAGAAAAAAAAACACCTGGAACCCAGAAAGAGTGACATCGTGAATGAGTTGCTGGCAGCATCTAACCTTTGCAGGGTCTTTGCAGTGACCAAGGTCTTCCTTCCGTGTGGCCCATGGTAGCCTTGCAATACCCCGAGGCGTGGATGTTGTCTTCATCTTTCACATGCGGGAGTTGACTATCTCAGAAGGGTCCAGCGAGCTAGCTGACCAAGCCACACAGAGCGTGACGGACTCAGCTCCTCACTTTCTACCCAGGGCGCTGTCAACCCAGAAGCTGGAAGAGCCTGTTCCCTGGCAAAGCCTCAGATGAGAGCGCCTCGTGTGCCCCTTGGGCCATGACCCTGTCTCCTTAGGTCACTCTGTGTTGCAGAACTCATGCGGCACTGCACCCTGCCCCACAGAGTGCAAAGAAAGCCCTTGGAGGAGGAGGATGGAGGAGGAGGCAGCATCTGGATGAAAGGAAGATTATTCTGACCTTGTGGGAATGTCGGTGGCCCTGGGGCGGCTAGAGGAGGAAAGTGAGCGTTCCTGGGAGATCTCACAGTGGAAGGCCAAACCCTCATACCTATAAAATGCTCTGGGAAACATGTCTCAGTTGTCAGGCATAGTGCCTAAGCCCTCAAGTTTCATCCTGCAGAAGAAAAATATTTTCAAATATTACCTAGTGAAGTTTTCTTTTTAGAGGTATAATTTTTACTTTCCATTAATTCCACCGTTCAAACTAGACCATGGGCTGGGCATGGTGGCTCACGCCTGTAATCCTAGCACTCTGGGAGGCCGAGGTGGGAGGATCCTTTGAGCTCAGGAGTTCAAGACCAGCTTGAGCAAGAGAGAAACCTCATCTCTACTAAAAAAAAAAACAAAAAACAAAAAACAACTAGGTGGACAACTAAAAATATATATAAAAAATTAGCTGGGCATGGTGGCACATGTCTGTAGTCCCAGCTACTAGAGAGGCTGAGTCAGTAGGATTGCTTGAGTCCAGGAGTTTGAGGTTGCTGTGAGCTAGGCTGATGCCATGGCACTCTAGCCCAGGCAACGGAGTGAGAATCTGTCTCAAAAAAACAAAAAACAAAAAACAAAAAAAAACAGGCCGGGTGAGGTGGCTCACACCTGTAATCCTAGCACTCTGGGAGGCCGAGGCGAGGGGATTGCTCAAGGTCAGGAGTTCAAAACCAGCCTGAGCAAGAGCAAGACCCCCTCTCTACTAAAAATAGAAAGAAATTAATTGACCGACTAAAAATATATAGTAAAAATTAGCTGGGCATGGTGGCACATGCCTGTAGGCCCAGCTACCTGGGAGGCTGAGGCAGGAGGATCACTTGAGCCCAGGAGTTTGGGGTTGCTGTGAGCTAGGCTGATGCCATGGCACTCTAGCCAGGGCAATAGAGTGAGTCTCTGTCTCAAAAAATCCAAAAGCCAAAAAACAAACAAACAAAAAAACCCCAACTAGACCATGAAGCTGAGTTCTCCTGCCATAGGGAAGGAAGAACCTCAAAGAACTCAGTGACAACAGAGTCAAATTTATGTCTCTACATTCCAACATAGAGCCTTGAAAGATGTGGAATTTAATTGCAAGGACCAGCATCTTGCGAAAGAAGTGGCTGTCTAATCACTAAAATTTGCTGAACAATCATTATGTGGTGAGCAATGTTTTAAAGCTTATATGGACCATCTAATTTAATCTCACGATTATAGCTTGAGGCTTAAAGATGAGGAAGATGATGCTAAGAGAGAGGTTAATTAACTTTTGTGAGGTCACTCAGCTAAGAAGTGGTACAACCAGGATTTGAGCCCAGGTGTTTGGCTCTGGGCCCATACTTAGTCACTCGGCACCCTGTCTCATGTGTTGGCCATTCTACTCAGGGCGGGGAATAAGCAGAGAACAAGACAGCTAGAGCTAGGCTTCCCTCAATAAGCTCACTGGCTGAGTCTCCTGCTATGTGTCTTTTGAGACTTCATTTGGGCCTTGTGAAGCAGGAAAAAAGGGTCCCCACATTATTTGTGAGAAAAAGAAAGTGAAAAAGAGGAGAATTGTTTTATTCAAGGTTATAGAAAGACATAGTTGCAAAAGGCAATAAGAACCCAAATGTCTCATCAACATCTCAATGTCCTTTCTCTACTCTGGGAGTGCTCAGGGTTAGTGCTAACGCCTGGAAATTAACTAAAACTCCCCTCAGGCTGGATCTCCAGAGCCCAGGAACCCTCAGAACCAAGGGTGGTATCTGGTGAAAGGAAGCAAAAACAGAGAACAAATTTTGCTTTGGAATTTTGCTTACACTTGCAGCCCCATTTATAGTGTCCCAGGCCCGGGGACAAAGGGGGATTTGGGGACAGGGGATGGTCTGAGGATGGAGGCATTTGTGGGTGTATTCGGAGAGGCAGAGTCAGTCAGAGATTCATGGGTGGGGGGATGGAGAGACGAGGACTATGTAGTTCAGAATTGGAGGAGAGCTCTTCTCATCGGTACTTTCATGGATATTGTCCTTGGTAAGAAGGAGAACGTTGGCAACATGGCCATGAGGCGGGGACAGGAGAGAGAGAGTGGGAAAGAGAAAGAGAGAGAGAGAGAAAGGGAGAGAAAGAGGAGAGAGTGAGTGAGAGAAAGAGTGAGAGAAAGGGGGGGTGAGAGAGAGAGAGAGAGAGAGATCAATCTACCATAGTGGCTGGTAAGAGACTCTTCTCTTGAGCTCCCGCCAGCATCTCTAGGATCAGGGCTGGGCATGAGAAGTCCCTTACCTTCTGTATCTTTGAGCTTTGTTTGATGAACAGACTATCCCACAGAAGGAGGAACAGCACTGAAGTCCTTTCTCGCAATCTTCCTGCAGTGTACACAAGTAGGTACAGTTTTCAGGTTCCGATTTGCAGGGTGGAGGTTCCAAGATATACTCTGGAACGCAGAACAGGTAAAAGACTGAACAACAGGCTGGACTAACATTTGGAACTCAGAAAGCCCAGGGAACTGCTAGGATATCGGCCGCCTCATCTCCCTTGCATGGTCCCTGGGAGGTAGGATCAGGCTTTGTCCTTAGCTGATGACTTCCTCTGAGTTCTGAGCAGGGTACCAGAGCATGGGTATTTGATCAGGGACAGAGTTTGGCAGAACCCTGCCCCCTTGGGTCATTTACCATCCTTCTGGGTCGATGCCAAGTCCCCATAGACCCCGGCTGGGTCCATTTCAGGAGTATGAATGGCATGTGCGGTGAGCAAGAAAGAGGTTTGTGCATTCATTCTGCACTGACTCATTGTGTGGTCTTGAGCAAGTTGTACAGCCTCTCATCAGCAATATCGTTTACCCTGGGGCCAGCCTAACATGGGCTGTATGTGTATAGGAAGAATGGGTGGTGGGAGGCAAGTTTTGGTAAAGGATGAAGACCACATGGTAAACCAAAGGTATGGGATCAGAGCGCTAGAAGCCAATTCCCAAGTAAGTTCTGGGAATGACTTCTTTCATGGTGAGAAGGGTGGGGATTTCAGAATGGGGTGCAGATTCAGCTTCTCCTTTTCCCTTGGTGTCTCCTGATCGGTTAGAGCCCCAGGATGCCCCCACTTTCTACTGTTATTAGAAAAGATACCTTCATTTGACACCCTATTTTCTCCCCCACCCCCAAGTATTTCAGTTGAAAGCTAAGACCCGTCTCCAGCAGGAGATGCTGTCCTAAGGCCTCAACCCAAAGTTGCCTCTCTGTTCCTGGACTCTAAGGATGGGGCCCTGTTAACCCCTTTCCCCAAGCCCTGCCAGGCCCCAATTTTCTACCTTGTGACTTACCTTTTTGGGGGAGCAAAAGTCAATGGTGGGGCATTCTATTGCTCCCCTGTTGATTCATTGCTTTGCAGATATTTGCATTTAGAAGGGAGTCTGTAGGATATCATAGTGGTTCGAAAGGAAGGAATGAAGAATGAGTGGAGTCTATAATTGTAACAGCAAATGGCACCAGAAATGGTGTGAGAGGAACTGAGGTCCAAGCTGTTGACAATGGGCAGAAACCAGTACCCAGCATTCACTCACTCCTGGCCTCTCACCCATTCCATAGCCCATGGGGGCAGTGCAAGAAATTGGAACCTGTCCCCACTTTGAAGAGCTTGGGGCTCAGTGGAGCAGCATGGAGGAAAGAGGCCTTTTCAAGTTTTGTCTCCTCTTCTGGGCATCTGGTCTCAGTCTCACTCACAGCACTTACCAGCCTTTCAGAAAGCCTCTGTGTATCTCTCCTCAAATTCTAGTTCCTCATTCTCCAATTAACTCTACCCTGGATACTCCCATTCTCTTGGAGCTTGCTTACAAACCTGCGTGCAATGTCTGGAACAGCTAAAACAGGACCAGGCCTCCCCAGACACGTGAGCTACCACACATATCCCTCTTCTGAGCCCCCAATATTCTGAAGATGCTCTCCCCACAAAGGAGTGCATGTATGATGAATAACAGTTCTTCTCCCATTTGGTATTGGTCAAGGTCAATGTTACTGCAGCCAGCACTCTTGTTAGAGCTGGGCAGTGGTGGCTGCTGAGATGGACTGTCCACTGTCCCTTTGATGCTAATCACGAGCAATTGCTCAGCACCTCTGGATTTTCAATATGTGGAATAAAATGCAAGACTTCTTTCCCTGCCTCCCAAAGTATCCTCCAAGGCCAAGCGTATGTAGATTCTGGCTTGAGTTCTACCAACTTCATTTACCTCTCTGTTTTGATGCTCGAAAAGTGGGACCCAGCATCCGTGAAGGAACCAGGGGCGGCGAGATTAAGCTGGGGGATGAGACCGATACTATTTACGGTAGTTAATACCTATTGAGCATTTCCCATGGCCTAGTAAGACTGCTCTTCGGTCTGCACACATTATCTGTTTCTTCTCCCAACTGTTTTGGGATCATGGTATCCAATATAAGGATAAAATGTTGCCCAGGGTCTCACAGGAAGAAGAGGGATTGAAGCCTAGGTCTTGCCGACAAGAAAGCTTGGACTCCTGCCCATGACACTGTTTTTCCACAAGGCTGTCAGACCGCCAGCCCTCAGACCCTCTCCTCTCCGCAGATGCTGACTCCCTCTCTGGGCCCAGACCCAGCTCTTACTCTGAATGTGCTCCTTGGGCCTCCCCAGCACCAGCTGCAGCACCAGCCCCAGCGCCAGCAGGAACTGTGCAGGCAGCACAGGCTTCATGGTGCCGGCGGAACAGGGACGGTCTTGTGAGTCCTGGCCCAAGCCTGCCGGGCTTCACCAGGCACAGCTGCGAAAAGAGCCGCAAAGAGAGCGAGGTGGGGGCCAGGCTGTATATTCCGATCAGGGAGAGCCTGGCGGAAATCCAAGCACCTCCCAGCCCTCTCGGGGCCAGGTCGTGTTTTCCCATCTGTACCTACTTCATCCCATTAATCTTGACCTTGTTATGCCTCTCATCTACCTGGATCATATTAGTGTCCCTTCAAACAAATTGTTAATAAGTTTTCTCTGTGGAGATCTTGCATGTCTTGGTTACATTTATTCCTAGAGGCTTGGGTTTTAAAGGTGAAATTGTCAATAATGTTAACTTTTTAGTTAATTCTTTTCTTCTTTGTGCTAATGTAGGGAAGTGGCTTTTGTATATTGATCTGTAACTAGTTAGCTTCTTCCATTGATTCTCATGATTTCTTGGTGTATTCTTTCAGCATTCATCATCTGCAAATAGTAACTTTTCCTCTTCAAACTTTATGCCATTTTTCATGCCTCATTGTGCTGGTAAGTCCCTTGAGCACATTGCATAGAAGTGAGGATGATGTGTGTTCTTGTCTGGTATCTGACTTCAAATGAAAGCTTCTTGAATTTCTCCTTTTAGGATAGTCTCTGTTTTAGGTTTTTCCTAAGCATCCTTTATCAGGTTTAGAAAGTTATCTTTCATTCTTTTTTTTTTTGAGACAGAGTCTCACTTTGTTGCCCAGGCTAGAATGAATGCTGTGGCGTCAGCCTAGTTCACAGCAACCTCAAGCCCCTGGGCTCAAGCAATCCTCCTGCCTCAGCCTCCCGAGTAGCTGGGACTACAGGCATGTGCCACCATGCCTGGCTAATTTTTTGTATATATATTTTTAGTTGGTCAATTAATTTCTTTCTATTTTTAGTAGAGACGGGGTCTCGCTCTTGCTCAGGCTGGTTTCGAACTTCTGACCTCGAGCAATCTGCCCGCCTCGGCCTCCCAGAGTGCTAGGATTACAGGTGTGAGCCACCGTGCCCAGCCTCATTCTTAATATAACAAGAGAGTTTTCATTAATTTATGTCAGATTATATCGCTTTTTTCTACGTATGTTGAGATGATAACATTATTTTATCTCCTTTAATCCTTTAACTTGTTAATGTAGTGAATTACATTCCAGACTTTCTAACATTAAGCCATTCTTGGTTTTCTATGGTAATCTTAAAGTGATCACTGTGCATTATTATTTTTATATTGTTTGGTTCAGTTTGCTATTTTTCACGTATTTTACATTTATGTTAATAAATGAACTGAGCTTGTAACTTTCCTTTCTTATACTGTCCTTGGTTTTGTAGCAAGTTTACGCTGACTTATGACTATAATAGAATGTGCTGAGCAGCGGCCCTTTGTCAATTCTCTGGAAAGTTTTCTGTAAGATAAAGATACTTACTTACTTGAATTATTATTATTATTATTTTTTTGAGACTGAGTCTCACTCTGTTGCCCGGGCTAGAGTGCTGTGCCATCAGCCTAGTTCACAGCAACCTCAAACTCCTGGGCTCAAGCAATCTTTTTGCCTCAGTCTTCTGAGTAGCTAGAACTACAGGCATGTGCCACCATGCCCTGTTAATTTTTTCTATGTATTTTTAGTTGGCCAACTAATTTCTTTCTATTTTTAGTAGAGTCAGGATCTTGCTCTTGCTCAGGCTGGTTTCGAACTCCTGACCTTGAGCAATCCTCTCGCCTAGGCCTCCCAGAGTGCTAGGATTACAGGCATGAGCCACTGTGCCCGGCTGTTACTTGAATTCTTAACTCTGTTTTTCTTGAACAAATATGCTCATTTGCACTTTGTTGTTTTCATTTGACAATATATTCATAAAATTACTCTAGAGCAGATACTACTGTTTTCTCTTTGTCAGAGCTGCATTTGAGACCACCACGTACACACACGTTGGTCATATAGCTAATCTCCTATATATATGGGCATTTCTGTAGTTAGCAAGATTTTGCTATTACAAATAAAGCTGCGTTGAACAATCGTTTGCGTATTTTCTGTATTGTTGAAGGTATAACATCAGGATAAATTTCCAAAAGTGTGATTGTTGGCTAAAAGCGTAAATGCATATATAGTTAGGTTAGATATTGCCAATTCTACTCCATAAAGGTTGTACCTTTTTGTGCTGTCACCAGCGATGTGAACATGTATGTTTCCCATAGTCTCACTAATAGATTGTGTTGTTATGCTTTTGAATCTTTGCCAAAATGATAGATGAGAAATGTTATTTCTGTAGTTTTTGGGGTTCATTTACTATGTGTCACGCACCAGAACTTCATTTTGTTTTATGAATGAATAATATTTTGTTGTATGTGTATATCACAATTTGCTTGTCTGTTCATCTGTTGATGGAATTTTAGTTGTTTTTACTCTTTGGTGATTACAAATAGTGCAGATATGAATATTTGTGTACAATTTTTTTTAGTACATATTTTCAATTCTTTTGGATAAATACCTGGGAATAGAATTGCTGGGTCATATGTTTAACTTTACATGTTTAATTTTTGGGGGACACTCCAAACTATTTTCATAATGGCTGAACTATTTAATATCTTTATCAGTAATGCATGAGGTTCTAATTTTTCTAATCATTGCCAACACTTATTATTTTCCTTTTTTTATTATAGCCAACCAAGTCAGTATGAAGTGGTATCTCATTGTGGTTTTGATTTGCATTTCCCTTATAACTAATGATGTTGAGCATATTTTCATGTGCTTCTTGGTTACATTTATATTTTCTTTTGCTCAGGCTGGTTTCAAGCTCCTGAGCTCAAATGATCCTCCCGCCTCCGCCTCCGAGAGTGCTAGGATTACAGGCATGAGCCATTGTGCCCAGGCTGATGAAGTCCTTTGGTGCACAAAAGTTTTTATCCCCAGTTTATTTTTTCTTTTGTTGCTGTGCATTTGGTGTCATTTCTAAGAACCCACTGCCCACTCCTAAGTCATGGAGATTTACTTCTATATTTCTTCTAGAATTTTGTAGCTCTACCTTTAAATCATTGATCCACTTTGAATTAATTTTTATATATGGTGTGTGAGGTCCAAATTAATTCTCTTTTTTTTTTTTTTTTTTTTTTTTTTTTTTTTTTTTATTTTTTTTTCTTATTTTTTATTTGAGTCAACGTTAGTGAGAATAAATTAATTCTCTTGCATGTGACTATCCAGTTGTCCCAGCACCATTTGTTGAAGTGACTATTACTTCTCCATTAAATGACCTTGGTTGATAATTTCTTCTTAGCACTTTAAGTATGTCATCTCATTGCCTCTGGCCTCAGTGGTTTCTGATGAGAAATCAGCTGTTAATCTTATTAGGAAATTCCTTATATGTGATGAGTTGCTTCTCTCTTGCTGCTTCCATATGCTCCTTTGCTTTTCACTTTTGACAGTTTCATTATAATATGTCTCAGTGTGCTTCTCTTTGAGTTTATCCATCTGCACCAGGAACGTAGGTCTCCATCTATATGGCCACTGATGAATTGAGGAAAGTAAAATGCTACAATGTTTACTTACTGGAATTTACCATGGCCTCATGTGAATTGCTGGTTTGTCAGGAAGAAGATACCAAAATGGCAAGGAGAAAGCCAGCTTTCAGTTGATGGGACTCTTGCAATGTTCTATGGCAGAAGCATCCCCCTCAGAACCACAGAATTTTGAAGCAGAGAGCATTGCAGGGGTAGGAAGCATAAATTCCTGGGAGTAATGTGAGGTGTGGCCACTTATAGTTCCTTGGTTCTGGACTCATGCATTCTATTGCAGACAGTGCAGCATATAATGGCCTTTGGTTCAAAGTGTATTTCCCAACTAGAGGGCAAGTGCTCCATCTTTGCAGGATGTCATCTCCAATATGGCAGCTTCTATGCTCCTTCAGTATGCCAATCCACAAGTCCATCAGGCTGACAGAATGTGAGTGATATAGTACAGGTAGAACCAAGTAGACCTTGTGATTATGGACCTATTCTTGTATCTCTTTTGATGTAAAATTTGTCACTTGGACTGAAGTGATATTACATTGAATCCCATGTCAGTACATCAGACACTACTTGAGCCATCACATAGTGGTACTGGCTGAGGCAGGCACAAACATCTAATCATCCTCCCAGAATGTGTGTAGCCTGGTCAAGATGAGTCACTGCCCTCTGCCCGCAGAAGGGCTTGGATGTACTAATTTTTCACCAAGCAACTGATTCATTTCCTGGAAGACTGGTATCACATTGAGGGCTCAGTCTTGGTCTGTGCTGCTTATTTGTTTATTATTTATTTTCGAGACAAGGTCTCACTCTGTTGCCCAGGGTAGAGTGCAGTGGGACGATTATAGCTCATTGCAATCTTGAACTCCTAGGCTCCTCAGCATCAGCCACATGAGTAGTTGGGACTACAGGTGTGCACCACCATGCCTGGCTAATTTTAAAATTTTAAGGAGATGGGGTCTTGCTATGTTGCCCAGGCTGCTCTTGAACTCCTGGCCTCCAGCAATCCTCCCACCTTAGCCTCTGAAAGTGCTAGGGTCATAGGCAAGGACCACTGGACCCAGCCAGCTATTTTATTAGTGGTGTATAGTTTTCTTTTGCAGTTGGCTTTGCCAAGATTAATGATAAAATAACTAATGTATGTTGGACATTAACTTTGTTTCCTTGATTAGCTGAAAGATGGAAGGTTTAACTTCAACTCCCTTTAAGATTTCACATTAGCAAAATTGGACAAATGAGATCACATCAAGCTAAAAAGCTTCTGCACAGCAAACGAAACAATCAAAAAAGAGAAGAGGCAACCCACAGAATGGGAGAAAATATTTGTAAACTACCCATCTGGCAATGGATTAATGACTAGAATATATAAGGAGCTCCAACAACTCAATAGGAAAAAATCAAATAATCTTATTTAAAAATGGGCAAGGGATCTGAATAGATGCTTCTTAAAAGAAGACATACAAATGCCAAAAGGTATATGAAAAAATTCTCAACTTCATGAATCATCAGAGAAATGTGAATCAAAGTTACAATGAGATATCATCTCACCCCACCTAAAATGGCTTTTATCAAAAAGATAGGCAATAAAGAATGCTGGTGAGGATGTGGAGAAAGAGGAACCCTCATACACTGTTGGCGGGAATGTAAATTAGTGCAACCGCTAGGGAAAATGGTATGGAAATTTCTCAAAAAACTGAAAATAGAATTACCATATGACGCAGCAATCCTGCTGCTGGGTATATATCCAAAGGAGGTGAAATCATAGAATTGATATGAAAAGATATCCCATGTTTATTGTAGCACTATTCACAATAGCCAAGATTTGGAATCAATCTAAGTGTCCATCAATGGATGAATGTATAAATAAATTGTGGTACATGTATACAATGGAATATTATATAGCAATAAATAATAAATCAGGGCATACTTTAAAATAACTAAAAGAGTGGAATTGGAATGTTCCTAACACAAAGAAATGATAAATGCCTAAGGTGATGGATACCCCAATTACCCTGATTTGATTAATTCACATCATATGCCTGTATCAAAACATCACATGTACCCTATAGAGATATACAACTATTATGTATTATGGTTAATATAATTAAAAAGAAAAAAGAAAAAAGATTTTACATTAAAGGATCATTCTTCCCAAAAGCCTTCATTTACTCCTACTAGTTGGGGTTGGTAGACTGTCTGCTGGTTTTCTATAGGACCTTATTTTCTACCTCTGTAGCCCTTGTTACGTTGTATTGTACTTACTTAATTTTCTGTTTTTCTGCCAGATCCTGAATCCTGTAGAAGCAGGAACAATGTCTGACTTATGCTACAGTACCTAGCAGTGAGTGTGCTGTCCTGCACATAGGAATTCAAATACAATGATTCAATGAATGCTCTCATTCAAGCCTTTCATTACTCTTATGAATCACACAGAAACAGGACATGCCCAAGGCCACAGAAGAAGTTCATTAGAGATGTGAATCAGAACTCTAGTGTTCTTACTTCTGCATCAATAAAGGTCCCATAAATTCAGACTCTGGGACCAGTGATAATGGCTAGGCAAGGAACAGGAGCTTCCCTTGAACTGGATCTTCAGTGCCTTGGAACAGTGGCTTCAAAACGGGGGTGTTGTAAGTGAGAAAAAGTTTGGTTCTGCCTAAAATGTATGTTATTCATTAGGATAGACTACCCTGCTTTAACAGAAAGCCTCCATCGCATAATGACTAAAATGCGATAAAATTTTTATTTCTTGTTCACATAATAATTCAGGATGAGTAACCTATAACAATGGATGACTCTTCTTCTATGTGATGATTCAAGGACCCAGGCTCCTTCCATCTTTTGGTGTCACCATGCTCTAGAGCCTTGTGGTCATCAAGACTGAGCTGGTGGAGAGGAAAGAGAGTGTGAGATAGACCTCGACTGCACTCTCCTTAGGCCTTGACCCAGAAGTGACAAAAAAACGTTTGCCTTCAGTCTGTTGGTCAAAATATTTACATTGCCACACTAGCTTTAGGGGGAGTGGATGGGAAAATGCAGCTCCTATTTGAGCTTCTGTTTCCCTTCTGTGATAGGGCCAGTATGACAATGTCCACTCTCCATATTGTTATCTTTTATATGCGACCAAAAGGAAAGACTGTGAAAGAGAGAACATTTGGGAAAGATAAAAAAAGCACTCTAAACTACAGGTATGGGTATCAGAGATTTTTTTTTGAGACAGAGTCTCGCTTTGTTGCCCAGGCTAGAGTGAGTGCCGTGGCGTCAGCCTAGTTCACAGCAACCTCAAACTCCTGGGCTCGAGCGATCCTTCTGTCTCAGCCTCCCGAGTAGCTGGGACTACAGGCATGTGCCACCATGCCCGGCTAATTTTTTTTTTATATATATATCAGTTGGCCAATTAGTTTCTTTCTATTTATAGTAGAGACGGGGTCTCGCTCTTGCTCGGGCTGGTTTTGAACTCCTGACCTTGAGCAATCCACCCGCCTCGGCCTCCCAGAGAGCTAGGATTACAGGCGTGAGCCACCGTGCCCGGCCAGAGATTTTGAACATAAATGACACCTGAATATTGAAGGAGACTCTATTAAAATACCAGATGGGATTCAAATCTTTTTTTTTTTTTTTGAGACAGAGTCTCGCTTTGTTGCCCAGGCTAGAGTGAGTGCCCTGGCATCAGCCCAGCTCACAGCAACCTCAAACTCCTGGGCTCAAGCCATCCTCCCGCCTCAGCCTCCCGAGTAGCTGGGACTACAGGCATGTGCCACCATGCCCAGCTAATTTTTTCTATCTATATTAGTTGGCCAAATAATTTCTTTCTATTTTTAGTCTCGTTCTTGCTCAGGCTGGTTTCGAACTCCTGACCTTGAGCAATCTGCCTGCCTCGTCCTCCCAGAGTGCTAGGATTGCAGGCGTGAGCCACTGCGCCTGGTCGGGGTTCAAATCTTTACCACCATCTTCTTCCCAGCTTCTCCACCTATTGAGAGTCCAGAACCCTTGGTTTCCTCCTCTTTCTCCTGTTAGGGAAGAAAAACATCTTCACTTCCGAGTGTCCATTTCCTCCCTAATGTTCAAGGTCTACTTCTGCCCTGAGCCCTTGGATGATTATTTTCTCCCCTTATCTGAGCTCCATGACATTGACTGTGTGCCCCAATTAGCCCCTTATTCCCATGCCCTTCTCTAGTATATACATTATATCTAGTATATACATTTTATATCTATCATCTTACATTTTAAAAATTCCATGAAGTGGCCATGATTTTTTCTCTAAGGCTGTAAGTTCGTGTTGTTGATGTCTGTGTTCATAGTCTGCATTCCTGAGGTCTCCATGAGTCCTAGTGACTGCTTACTCCACAGCTATTTGCATTTAAAAATGGGCTTATTGGGACTGCAAACTAGTACAACCTCTATGGAAATAGTATGGTGATTCCTCAAAGAACTGAAAGTAGATTTACCATTTGATCCAGCAATTCCACTGCTGGGTATTTACCCAAAGGAAAAGAAGTCATTTTATCAAAAAGACACTTGCATTAGAATGTTTATTAGAACACAATTCACAATTGCAAAGATGTGGAATCAACCCAAGTGCCTATCAATTTAGGAGTGGATTAATTAAATGTGGCATATGTATACCATAAAGTACTACTTAGCCATAAAAGATGAATTAATACCTTTTGCAACAATCTGGATGGAACTGGAGACCATTCTCCTAAGGAAAATATTGCAAGAGTAGAAAAGCAAACACCACATGTACTGACTGTTAAATTGGAACTAACTGATCAGCACTCATGTGCACAGATGTAAGTAAAACTCAACAGAAACCACACACGTGGGTTGGGGGGAGGAGGGGATAGGTGAATTCATACCTAACGCCTACAATATACACTATCTGGGTGATGGACACACTTATAACTTTGACTCAAGCAGTACAAAAGCAATCCATGTAACCAAAAAATTTGTACCCCCATAATATTCTGAAATAAAAAAGAAAAAAATGGGTTTATTCTCTAAAGGAAGAATGAATAATGATGGAAATTTAGAAATCACCTAAGGAGACTGTTCGGATAGGGAGCCTGTATAGTTAACTCTTATCTCTTTTCTATAGTGAGGATCCTATGTCTTTGGGTAAAATTGTCCATGTTGGAATAGAATACAGCATGTAGAGATTTTAGCAAATCACTGGGATGGAGAATGAAGAGAAGAGGAGGCAGAAGAGAAAGGAAGGGTCGGTCACAGAGTGAGTAGGTCGTAGAGTCTGTTGACCAGAGGAATACTCTCAACTGAAGGAGTTAAGAGTAGTTGACTCTCAAACTTATAAAAGGTCCCGCACTCAGAACTCATCTCTTCACCCTATAAAACCAAAACAACGTTCTCTGTCCTTTGAGAGAGCAGAGCTGATCACAGCCAATGTTTGGACTGGCTGTTTTGAATTCTGATTTCCACTCCCAACTTGGCCGCTAATTCACACAGAGTCCGTGGATTCACTTGGATAAGCAGAGAAGTCTCCTGACCCACAGCCCAGGATCCCTGTGGGCTAGTGTTCTTCTTCTTCTTCTTCTTTTTTTTTTTTTTTTAAGATTTGCTCTATCACCCTAGGTAGAGAGCAGTGGCATCAGCATAGCTCACTACCATAGCTCACTCAAACTCCTCGGGGCTCAAGCGATTCTCTTGCCTCAGCCTCCTGAGTAGCTGGGACTACAGGCACATGCCATGACACCCGGTCTCGTTCTTGCTCAGGCTGGTCTCAAGATCAAGCAATCTTCCCATCTTGGCTTCTGAGAGTGCTAGGATTGAGCCTAGCAGGATTGAGCCACCCTGCCTGGCCATGGGCTGGGTCTTAATACTCAATGTAAACTAAAAGATAAAAGAGCTGTTCTGGACCCTGGGGCTTGTGTGGTTGGGAGACAAGATTGAGGAGAAGACACATACATTTCACTGAGCACCTGCTGTGTGCCAGGCACCATGAAAGTGAAGGTATTTGCATATGTCATCTGTTTCCATCCTTACAGCTGAGGCACAAAGAAGATATGGGTAAACTGAGTCTGAGAGAGATTACAGGACTTTCCCAATGTTACAAAACTGGTGAATATTGGAGTCAGGATTTAACTTCACATCTGTCTGAGGACTAAACCTGTGAATATTCCTCTGCTACTCAAATTCGCATAGATGATAGGGGCTCATTCCTGACAGTAAGTCCCCATTTACATTCCAGTGTCTTGCAGGATTTGAGGAAACTGACACTCATGCTCTGTTGAATCAAATATGTTTATTTGATTAAAAAAATTAATTTGTGCTCTCTGGGTCTCTTTTTTCTCTCTCTCCATATATATATATATATGATTTATGAAATACATACTTATTCTTTTACCCAGTAATTCAACTTCTGCTACTGAAACCTAGAGAATACTCAAGCAATTACAAGTACAAATGTTCAAAATAACGTTGTTTAGAATATCAATAATTGGTATATCCCAAACAGTTGACAAGAGGTACACAGTGAAAGCTGTGTAATTATGATAAATTTTGTAGTTTCTTTTTGAAAAATAATGACAATATACATATTTACATGATTAAATAAGGGTAGCAGAAGATAGGTAGCAAAAGATGGGTGATTCAAAAATGTCAGAAAACAAAGGATTGCTTCTATTACATACAAAGGAAAACTGTTATAAAAAATAACACAATAGAACATGGGTTAATAAGCACATTGTTTTCCAAAAGATGTGTTTTTCTTTTGTTTATATCTGCAAAATATTTTGTAATAAGAAAGCAGAAATAAATGACGTCTTTCAGAGAAGAAAAATGCTGTCAGCAAGGAGAGAGGGTTGGTTGCGTGAGAGGAGGCGTCATTCCTGCAGAAGCCCCATCCCACACGGAGGAGGACAGGCTAAGGGACACATGAAAGGGAGGAAGCAAGGACTGCCTGGCACTGCCCCGGCTGGCCCAGGGGAGGCAGCGAGGGGCTGAGGATCATCCCTTCTTTCTTTCCTTCCCTCTCCTGGCATCCTGGCCAGACGCAGGGCTGACGCTGTGGTCAGAGTCATGCCGTCCCAGGCTCTGCTGCCCGTCCTGCTTCTGTGTGCGCTGCTGCTGCAGGCCCAGGCAGGCCACAGGAGCCACAGCCGGAAGAGGATGCAGACTACATCCAGTAGGTGACGGGCTGGCAGGGGGTGGGGGAATCTGGGGAGGGAGCAATGAGGGGCTCTGGCCACTCTGAGGAGAGCCTGGCAGTTGGTACCTCTCTGCACATCCAGCTCTGACCACAGCGCTGTGCAGATTCCGGGCCACCCCAAACCACAGTCCTCCAGCCCTTTACCCAGCTCTGGGAATAGTAATGGGAGGGAAGGGGAAACCTGCATCTTTTCTTGTCCATTCCAAAAGACCAGAGACCCATGGTCCATACTAGAGTGAAAGGTGCATCAGGGCTGAGAATATGATGAGAAAACAAGACAATTATTACTTAATGCACGCGCATTTGTGGGGAGTAAACATCTGGGGATGGTTACGGGGTATGTGTAGGTGTAGAGATGGGCACAGGTGTAGAAAGAAAGACACAGAGCAGGCGAAATTTGGGGTGTACAGGGAAAGTTAACCTTATCATTGGAAGGCCCAGGAGGGTGGTGGTGGGAGGGGAACTAGTGAAGGGGCAGGGTCCTGGACACAGTGACAGTGAGGACAGGAGACAGGGACAAGAGGCAAGTTCACCTTCCTCTCTGGACCCTGCAGATTCTGAGAGTGAGGGAGGGTTTGGAAGATCAAAGAGATCAAAGAGCTTCTTTGAGCTCCCAGGTTCAAAGTATAGATTCTATGGGGGTGACTTCAGCCAGGCCAGGGCTAATAGGAGAGATAGTGTCCTGGAGGCAGGTGTATGAAGGAGATTACAAAGTCCAGGCATTGAGGTCTTTGAGGGGTAAGGGGAAGGTGGGGAGAGAGGATTTAAGATCCTACCAATCACTAGGATTTGGAGATGGGCAGGAGGAGGTTGTTCTCTGAAAAGTCCAGGAGTGTCATGAATGGGACCTTGCTGCTGGGGTCTTAGAGGAGCTTTAAGTTTGAGATGGGTGGATGGAGTGCACCCAGCCTGGGTGGAGGGTTTCATTAACCCCTTTCTGTACCTTTTTAGGAAGCAAGTCCTGTAATAAGAGCTTCAACATAGATCAATGCACCCACCACTGCTCATATTTCCAAAAGTGTCAAGAAAATGAGACATGCTGTGCTACTCTCTGTGGGAATATTTGCCTGAACATCTTCTGAGTGGGGGAACAGCAGGGCTGTGCATCTGCCTCTCCAAACCCCTCAATTCAGAGGCTATACACATGTCTGGAGCAGGAGGACCTCAAATCACAGGCACAAGGACATCAACAGGAATGCTGTCCTCCCCACTGTTTGAACTCCTTTTTCCTGTCAAATAAACCAGAGCAAATGCCCAGGGTCTCTGGCTTTTTTATTCCCAGTGCTTGTGATCATTGAGAACCCAGTGCAGCCCCCACAGATGCCCTGCCCTTCTTGGGCTCCGGTCTCTCATTTCTCTCCCTGGTTATACTTCTCTGCTCTCTCTCTCCTTGGCCTGCACACCCCTGCAACCTCCAGGAGGCGCAGCCCCCCCTGCTGCTCTGCTCACTGAACCAGTACTCCCAGGGGGAGAAACTGCTCATGTGCAGCATTTCCCAGTGCTAAGGAGAACACTCCTCACCCTGGAGTCAGAAGCACCTGTTAAGCGTGAGCTAGGTGGAGGTCAGGACCTGGGGCACAGAGTGGGAGGCCCCCAGAGACTGCTCTCCTCTCCTTAGCCTTGGTGCACCCCCACCCCCTGCTCCCAATCTCTTTGTGAGGTTCAGATTGCTATGTCTTTACAATGAGGATAGTGAGTCCCAGGGAAGTCAGGTGACATGCCCAAGGCCACAACCACCACAACCTTCAACAATCATCACCCTGGTCAGTTAGCAGCCAACAACATCGAGGAAAGGCCCTGCACTAGCAAAAAGATTACAACCCACTGAAGGCTCAGATGATTGTTAGCATTTTTAAACAATAAAGAACTTAAAAATTAAGGTATAGACATTGTTTCTTTGGACATATTGCTATTGCACACTTAATAGACTACAGTGTAGAGTAAGCATAACATTTATATGCACTGGGAAACCAAAAACATTCATGCGACCTCACTCTATTGTGGCAGTCTGCAACCGAGCCTGCAATATTTCTGAGGTATGCCTTCATTCCCATTCTTACATATGTTTACATGGAGTTTCAGAGAGGTGAAGTGCCTTACCCAGAGTCACACAGTTAGTAAGTGATGAAGTTGCATTTCGAATCTATGTCTGATGGATGAGCCTGAAGCTTGGGATGGAGGCTCTACACAGCTGTCAACTTCCAGTTAATAGCCTGCTCACTCCTCTGGCCCACTATCTGAACCATCTGACCATCTATGTTGAAGGGCAGGAAGAGAAAAAATGGGCTTACCCACACTCTGTTGGTGCCAGTATAGCCCAAACACTATAAGCTGACAATTGGCAATATTTATGCACAGACTGAATCATGTGTATCTCCATTACTACTTTTATTGGCTTTCCCAAGGAATAAAGAAATACTCAAGGATTTAATTATAATAAGGTGACTAATAATAGGGAAATAATTCCTAAAATAGGGAAAAACTGGAACCACCAAAGTGTTCAAAGATTAAGGATTGATTGGCAGAGTAATCTGCCAATCTATGAAGTTTTAGAAATATTTAGGACTACAGGAAAATATTCATCATATATATTAAATTTAAAAATAGTCACAGGATTATCCACTATGTAAAAATATATATATGCACATAAGAAAAAAACTACAGGGATATATGCATATGTGTTAGCACAGGGTGACAAGATTAACAGTGATTTTTTTTTTTTTTTTTTTTTTTTTTGAGACAGAGTCTCACTCTAGCCTGGGCTAGAGTGCCGTGGCGTCAGCCTAGCTCACAGCAACCTCAAACTCCTGGGCTCAAACAATCCTTCTGCCTCAGCCTCCCAAGTAGCTGGGACTACAGGCATGCACCACCATGCCTGGCTAGTTTTTTCTATATATTTTTAGTTGGCCAATTAATTTCTTTCTATTTTTAGTAGAGACGGGGTCTCACTGTTGCTCTGGCTGGTTTCGAACTCCTGACTTTGAGCGATCCTCCCACCTCGGCCTCCCAGAGTGTTAGGATTACAGGCTTGAGCCACTGTTCCTGGCCAAGATTAACAGTGATTTTTAATTTAGTTGTCATTTTCATAGATTTATGCACTAAGCATGGGTTGCTCTTTTATTAGTGTGAAAGCAAAAATTGATGTTCTAGAAAGAAATTTTTTCCTACAGAGAAGTAAATGAGATGAAGTGAGGAGGGACCCCGTGAAAAGGTCAAGGCCAAGGATATGTTGTGAAGTGGGAAGAGGGAAGAAACAGAGCTAGAGAAGAAAACGTAGGACAATCCATAGGTTTTGCTTCTCTCCCCCTCTCCCTCCTTCTCATTCCAGCCAAGTGACTCTGGGAATCCTCCCAGCCCGAGTCAAGACTTACCCAGAGCCTTACACAGTCAGCTCGGCCCCAGATTCCCTTTCCCGTTATGCTGCTTGACTGGTATCCCAAAGACACTTAGAGAGAGTGTGCTTGGTGGCGGGAATGGGCTCCCAGGCCTAGGAGAAGCTGGGGGCTTCGCCATCTGGCACACCTGGCTCTGGACTCACTTCCTTTCAAATCCTGTATCTGCCTCTCACTGGCTGTGTGGCATCGGGCAAGTTGCTTAATTCTTTTGTGCCTCAGTTTCTGCTCCTGTAAAATATTAATATAGTGGTACTCAACTTATGGGGTCACTGACAGTATTAGTTAATACATGTTAGATATTTGACACATAGTGAATTTTGTGTTAAATGGGGTGATTCTGGATATGTCAATGAGTGTTTTATTGGTTTATTTAACAAGCCTTACCTAGCGCTGTCTGTATACCAGACATTGACGAGTCTTGCTTTGTTGCCCAGGCTAGAGTCAGTGCTGTGGCGTCAGCCTGGCTCACAGCAACCTCAAACTCCTGGGCTCAGGCAATTCTTCTGCCTCAGCCTCCCAAGTAGCTGGGACTACAGGCATGCGCCACCATGCCCGGCTAATTTTTTCTCTATATGTTAGTTGGCCAATTAATTTCTTTCTATTTATAGTAGAGACGGGGTCTCGCTCTTGCTCAGGCTGGTTTTGAACTCCTGACCTTGAGCAATCCGCCCGCCTCGGCCTCCCAGAGTGCTAGTGCGTGAGCCACCGCGCCAGGCCAGCATCGACTCTCAATTCCTGATACACAATAAGTCATGGAATCCTTACAACAATCCTATGAGGAGAGTGCTGTTATTATTCGCATTTTACAACTGAGGAAATTGAGGCACAGAGAGGACGAGTGACTTGCCCAAAGTAAGTGGGAGGTAGGATTTGATTCTATTATAGTTTACATCTAAGTTTTCAAATTCAATGTTATATGACTGCCTCCTCTTGGAAGCGATCTCTAGTTCATTACAAAAGACACAAAGGATTGGTGATGAGGTAGTGTTAGGCTGATGCTAGCAATGGAGAAATTAATAAATGGATAAATTATAAATAATAAGTAATAATTAATGGGTAGGGCTTTACAAAGATTGTCGCACAATGTTAGAGAAAGATAGATACATAGATCCTCCCTTCACCTCCACAATCACCCAGACTTGTGTGTGTGTGTGTGTGTGTGTGTTGGGGGAGGAGAGGTTTTTGCAGGTACCCAGTGTTCTATCTGTATCTATATTGCCTGCAGCAAAAGGAAAAAGAAAGCACTCCTTGAACGGGAATTCAGGGACAACGTTCTCTATGTACCCAACTTATGATTTGGAACAGAACTCACAGATCTGCTATGACCAGAAGCATAATTAAAATCAGAGTTATTGAAGTTCATTCTGCTCACCACTTGCCCCTGTGTAGAGGCTTCACAGTTCCTAGAGGCAAAGAAGAAGAGCCACCCGTCAAATAGTTATCAGCCCCTCCACCCAGGACATCTTCAGAGGTAGGTGGAGGTCAGGATCCTGGGACTGGAAGCATGAGCCTGTAAAAGCTTTCATTTTGGGGTTGTTTGGATGGTTTCTCTGTCCAAATTGTCACCCAACATCATACCAGTACTATCCCTCTGTAGAATAAATTATTGTCCTTGTTCAAATGGAGAAACTGAGGCAGAGAAAGCTAACATGGATGGGCATTGTGTGCCTTCACATGTGATATACTAAGAAGGACACAACATTGCCTAGATAGTATTTCCATTGAGAATGGATAACTTGGATCTAATCATGAAGAGATCTCAAACCCCAAAGGAGGTATTGTTCAATTAAAAGAAAAGGTTGGCTGTATTCTTCAAAGATGTCAATGTCCTAAAAGACAAAGGACATTACTGAGTGAATTGATAAAATGAAATACTCAGAGTAGAATAGCTAAAAGTATATTTTATCAAAGTTTATTTTAATGAAGTTTATAATTGTAGCATGATCATGTGAGATAATTCCCCAATTAAGAAATACTCATTGAAGTATTTAGAAATGAGGGCCATGATAAATAACACTTACTCTCAAATTTTTGAAAACATATGAGAGAGAGAGAGAGAAAGAGAGAGAGAAATAGAAAGAGAGAGAAAGAGCGATTAGGCAATTGGGGTAAATTCTTAAATAAGTGAATCTGGGTAAATGGTATACAGATGATCTTTGCACTATTCTTAGTCTTGTAACTTTGAACTTATTTCCAAATAATAGTTTAAAGGGAGTTAAAGGCAGCACATCTAATGGTCTATGTGCCAAAACTTTTATTTTTCTGTTTTATAATTTTTCATATATGCCAGGAGGAGAATAAATTTAACCCTTCTCAAAAGTTTTGTGCCTTTTAAAATGCCTGTAGGTATTACTCATGATTTTGAACATTTGAAGGAATTTCAACCAATACATGTAAGTTTTCTCCTGCTTGGTTGAAAATATTGAAGCAAAAATAAAGACTTTCAGGGAAAATTGGTTACTTGCAGGGAAAGGGACAATCATGCCTGTGTCATTTATAGTATCCGTACTTCTTCTTTGTATTTGCTTGTGAAAAAATCTTTCTTTCTGTTTGGATTCAGGAGGGTGAAGGAGCTTGGAGTGAGAGATGAGTGAAGACAGGACTGGGGAAGTTTTTGAGCAGTACTTAATCTTCTCCTTCCATGTCCCACCTGCCACCACCAATGAGCTGTCTAAATAGTAGCCAGCCAGTCCTAGACTCTTTCTGCATTAACTATGTTCTCTTTTGCACCATCTCCATAGAAAGTATTATGTATTTCTATTATATGTCTTACTTATCGCCTGTCCCCTCTACTAGAATGTGAGTTTTATGAGGGCAGGGATTTTTGTCAGCTTTGTTCACTATTGTATTCTCTGTGTTCCTAATAATGCCTGGCTTATAGTTGTCCCTTAATATAAGTATTTGTGGGGTGCATGAATTTAGAACAGATGAAGGCTAGAACCTTGTCCAATCACCAGAATTAATTGCAAGCAGGTTAAATAGTGGAAATTTTAAAAAGACCACTACAGGCCAGGAGCAGTGGCTCATGCCTGTAATTCTAGCACTCTGGGAGCCCAAGGCAGGAAGATTGCTTGAGCTCAGGAGTTCGAGAAGAGCAAGATCCCATCTCTACTAAAAATAGAAAAAATTAGCCAGTCAGCTAAAAATGAAACAAACAAACAAAAAAATTAGCTGGGCGTGGTGGTGCTTGCCTGTAGTCCCAGCTACTCGGGAGGCTGAGGCAGCAGGATTGCTTGAGCCCAGGAGTTTAAGGTTGCTGTGAGCTAGGCTGACGCCATGGCACTCACTCTAGCCCAGGCAACAAAGTGAGACTGTCTCAAAAAAAGAAAAAAGAAAAAAAAAAAGACCACGACAAAGTCAATGAAGTTAAGTAACTTTCACCCTTGGAGAAGATGAGAGAGATGAGAGAGTTTAAGTCGAATAATAATAGCCAACATTTATTTTTTATGTACTGTGTGTCAGGCCCTGTGCTCATTGCTTCATATATTCAACATTGGCAATGTGGTTACTGACATAGTTCTCATGTTATTGATGGGGAAACTGAGGCTCTAAAAAGGCATGTGATTTCCCAATTATATAACTTATACTAAGCTAAATGTGTTAGGGTTGGGATTCAATCAAGCCCAGGTCTTTTCTGATGCCAGTGTTGAAGTTTTGTGCTCTGTCCATTACTACACCACTAATCCTCAGTGTGCAGATTAATGGAGAGAATTTCCTTTATGATAAGATGAGATATGTAGCCTGTTAGTAGAATAAACCAATCCTAATGGAGAAAAAAATTAGAAGCAACTATTCAGGGCATAAAATAGACAGCATCCTTTACTTAGGATCTATAAATTTCTAGATCTACAGATTTGTGTTCTTAAGCTAAAAATGGATTTAACAGAGTTTTAGTTGCAAGAATTTTATCAATGACACGTTTTCCTAAGGATGAGAAATCACCAATGTTCAGATGTCTTATGATGAATGGGAAAATATTAATGATATGCGTAGCTAGTATGTTGGAAAATGTTCATGGAAAGTGTTATTGGAAACATGTTAGGAGGCTTCTCCTTTGGCCCTTTGAAATTTATTCAGAGAGGCTAGATCTTTCCCTGCCTCTTTATGAGTGCTTGGGTATAGAACTCGACTTCATAGCCATTCTTAGTTTACAAGACATGACTAAATTCAGAATGTATAAAGTCTAAGCCCGTATAATAGTCAAAATGCTGTGCTTGATTTGAAATTGTGGCCCTCGCATAGCTGAAACTTGTGAACGGGTAAGAGAGTGGTCAGTTGCCTCTCTCTTTTCTGTCACAGCTTCTCCCATATCCAGTTAAGTGCAATTCTGGAGATGGAGGAGGAAGAAAAGATAAAGGGTTCAGGGCAGCTCTCTTTGACAAATACTGATGTACATTTGTGCTTTCTGGGTTTAGCATTGCTTAAAGTTGACACTGTCATGGGTGCTTTCATGGGTTCTTTGAGTCTCTCCCTGCCCCAACTGGTGGAACGTTCTCCCCAGTAGTTCTCCTGGTATGGCTGGATCCATCTCTTCTCTGGCTGGTCTATTGTGACTCCTTCTCCAGACTCTAGACACCTGGCCACCCACTTTCTGCTTCCTTCTGCTGAGGTCCCATGACCTTTCCAGGCAGCCTATGTAGACTAAATCTATGACAAGTCCACACTCACTTTTTCTTGCATCCTTTGCCCTATCAAATTCCACAGCGCAAGCTGCATCCTTTTCCTTGTGGCCACAGGTCACCTCAGCCAGCCTCCCAACTTTTGCATTCTCAGGCATGACTCAGACACCTGTTACTGTGTCCCCACAAATACTTAGGGCATATATAAATATCTATGAGAAGTATAATTAAAGCCTTTCTAGTAACTTGGAATTAAGAGACTTGGAATTAAGAAAGCATAGCTCTCTTTAAAGAAATTATGCTAAAAAAATCTCCTCCAAAAATATGCCAAATTCTTGATCATTTTCTACCTTTAAAACGAGTATTGTAAGAGACCCTTAACCCCATTTTGTGCACTTTTAATCTGTTTTTTTTGAGACAGAGTCTCGCTTTGTTGCCCAGGCTAGAGTGAGTGCCTTGGCGTCAGCCTAGCTCACAGCAACCTCAAACTCCTGGGCTCAAGCAATCCTGCTGCCTCAGCCTCCCGAGTAGCTGAGACTACAGGCATGCGCCACCATGCCTGGCTAATTTTTTCTATATATATTAGTTGGCCAATTAATTTCTTTCTATTTATAGTAGAAATGGGGCCTCGCTCTTGCTCAGGCTGGTTTCGAACTCCTGACCTTGAGCAATCTGCCTGCCTCGGCCTCCCAGAGTGCTAGGATTACAGGCATGAGCCACCACACCCGGCCTGTGTTTTTTTTTCAGGTCCTACAAGTTGATTTTTCTCATAGCTCCCTTTAAGGTCTATCCAAAAGACTTGGCCAAAACTTTCATTTTAATATTCTGTTACAACTTTTTAATTAAAAAGTCAAGATAGAAGAGTGATGTCAGAAAGATTACAGAATAGGAAGTCCCAGCCCTCATTGCTGCCCCCCCCACCAAGAAATAACAATTTAGCAACCATCCATAGATAAAAATAATTTTATGAGAGCTTTGGGATCTAGTTGAAAGATTCCAGCATTCTAGTAGACCACAAAAGGTAAAAAGAATAGTTTTACCTTCCCCATATCATCCCTTCCCCAAACCGAAAGAGCTCAGTGCCAGGAGAGATTCCCCCAGCCTGAGATTTCTGCAGGGGAAAGAGAAAGCAAGGTGAGGGACTGGCTTCCTCAGTCTTTTGGGGCAATGCCCAGGAGCATTGTTTCACTGCCCTCAGAATGCTGAGGAAATGTCACTTTTTGATCATCTGGGGACAGCTAAGATTAAAGATCAGGGCAGGGGCTCACACGACCAGCATGTGGAACTCAACAACCACCATGTGTGGCCTCACAGATAGTCCCTTATGCATACCTGCAGACAGCACCTCATATGCCCCAGGAGCTGGTACTTCATGTTCTCCTGCAGATGGCATCCTTTTGAGAGATGTTTACAATCCTAAGATGTCCCTTTCAAGAGGGAGTGAGAGGAGTGGGTTGGGCATAGCCATAGGCAAGATTTCAGAGACCCCCTCACATCTCTAGCCAGTCTATCTAGTGAAGATCTTTCTCTTTTACCACCTCGCACTGGTTAGGATAGCTATTATCAAAAGTCAAAAGATAAAAAGTGCAGGCAAGTATGTGGAGAAAAAGGAATACTTATATACTGTTGTGGGTATGTAAATTGGTGCGACCACTATGAGAAACAGTATGGAGGTTTCTCAAAAAATTAAAAACAGAACTACCATATATGATCCAGCGATCCCACTTCTTGGTATATATCCAAAGAAATTGAAATCAGAATCTTGAAGCAATATCTTTACTACCGTGTTCATTGCAGCATTATTCACCATAGCTAAGACATGGAAACAGCCTAAAGGTCCACTGATGGATGAATGGATAAAGATGATGTGGTATACACATATAATGGAGTATTATTCAGCCTTCAAAGAGAAGGAAATCTTGCCATTTGCAACAACATGGATTAACCCAGAGGACATTATGTTCAGTGAAATAAGCCAGATGCAGAAAGACAAATCCCACATGATCTCACTTAAATGTGGAATCTAAAATATTCAGACTCATAGATGCATAGTAGAACAGTGGTTGGGGACTAGGGAAGGATAAAAATGGGAAGGCATTAGTCAAAGGGTATAAAGTTTCAGTTATACAAGATGAATACATCTTAGAGATCTGTTTTATAGCATAGTGCCTCTAGTTACCAATATTGTAGGTGCTAAGAGGATAGTCTTGTATTAAGTGATTTTTCACACCCCCCCCCCCAATAATACAAATAGAAAGCTAGTGGAAACTTTTGGAGGTGATAATATCTTTATGGCCAATGTAGCCAATAGTTACATGGGTTTATGTTTCTCTCCAAAGTCACGTTGTATACATTAAATATGTATAGTATTTTTGTATGTCAATTATATCTTAATAAAGTGTTTTTGATAAGTCGTTAGATAACAACAAGCCTGATACGATTTTAGTTTTGTAAAAACAATTCTTATTCATATCTATGCACATATGAGAGATAGAATAGCATTCACCACCAGTATAGTGCAATTACCAGAAATATTTCATTTTCTTTTTTGTGCTTTTTTGCATTTTAAGAATTTTATAAGCTGAATTTGAATTATCTTTTAATCAAGGGAGGGCAGCACATTAAAAAAATTTTTTTTCAGCAAAAGGAAAACATGAAGTGGGAGACAGAGAGACACCTTTTGACAGAGCCAAGGCTTAGCTTAGGTGTGTGTCGATTGTTGGGAGGGCAGAGGGCAAGGAGGAATGACTAGAAGATAAATTATGAAGAAATTATTATTTTTTTCTTTGTTTGGTTTGCAGAAACCTGTCTTGTATCTGAAGAAATTCTATGAGCACTTTCTCTTGCTTCACACCCCTCTTTCCTTATTTGTATCTCTTGATCTCTAGGAAGAAAAAAAATCTCCCTGACAACATATTTCGACATATATTCTGACGTATGGTCAGTACCATGAAGCTATGTATACCTCTACTCACGACATCCTTCTGTGCGATGCTACTGTCTGTGCTGGGATCATTGGAGAAACCCTGTGGTGGGTGTGATGTTGGGGTGGGGACCAAGGGAGAGGGGCTGTGCTTTTTCCTGGACATGTGAGAGTGTATTGTGTATGCCATATCTGACTCAGACTCACCTTCCCAGGGTAACCCACTGGAGAAGCAGACAACTTTGTATGTACAGAGATCCAAGACATTTCCATGCTGCAGTTCTTTAATGCTTCTTCTTCTAACCTTGAAAACAGCAATAAGTATCTGCCAAGTTTTATATCTATTCCACAACCTATGAGGACATGACATTTTCCAATGTTAGGCTATCTTTGAGGGGGCTGCCAATATAGAGCTATCCTACTTTTTCATACTTCCAGAAATTCTGTTCCCTAACTGTGTTTTCTTTGATGCGTACCAAACGGGTATTTCTTAATATATACCCTTCGTTTTAGTGGCAGGATCTTTTAGAATGTGATCAGATAGAAAAGAAGCACGAGATGGGTTCTAAGTGGGGCAAAGTTGGAGGTCATATGATAAGAATCAATTGAGGGGCTGAGAAAACTGAACGAGAGAGTCACGAATTTGGAGAGAGGATGAGTTATTAAAGGCAGGGTCAACAAATAGGGGGGGAAAAGGTGGAGAATCTGTTCCTTACTTTCCCTGGCCTAGCTTCCCACACTAGGAAACAGGCATTATGAGGAGGCTAGAGGATATCTCAGGCTCTGGGAGCTCCTGTTGGGTAAGTGTAGATTTTATAGGAGGGCACACGAATGCTGAGAGTACACTGAGTCCTAACTCCAGGATGTTCAGAAAGGGCCCAGAGAGCTGCAACACTGATAAAACCTGTAGAAGCCAAGGAGACAGAGAGGTCAGGGAAGATGCAATGGGATCAGTGAAAATGTAATGACTGGAATTTAAGGAGGTTCAGAAAGGGAATTTGTCATAAGGCAGATAGATACCTTGGTGGGGACTTGGGGTTCAAATTCTAGGAGGAGCTCTTAAACTTAAGAAGGACTTCTCTTCCCATGTTTGGCTGTGTGGCCACCCCCTTACCATATCATTTCAGCTTCAGAGAGGGAAATGTTACTTGAGGAGTGCTGGGGACAGCCAAAGGTGAAAGAATGTACCAGGACGTGTTCTAGAACCTTGAGATGTGAAGATAAAAATCAAAAGTGCTGCTGGAGCTACTGTGGAAACATTTGCTGGGATGAAAATGATGTGAGTTGGGAGATAAGTGCTTGGATGTGTATCTTCACTGATTTTCATTTTCTTTTCAGAAGCTGTTAGTCCTGAACAGAAGACTGAGGTACTCCAAATCCTAGGCACAAAAATAGCAGAAGACCATGTCCCCCACACCTGGAAATTCACTGGCAAATAAACCAAGATACCAGCTTGGACCCCATTGCTTTTTTCATTATATAATCAATATCCATGTTGTCCTCTTTATCTTACTCAACAGTTTGCTAGTTTCCTGACTTAAGTCCAGATTTTTGGCCACTGCCTCCATAGTCAGACCTATCCATGAGCCGTTTGGCTCAGCCAGGTCCATATTGGTCCATGTTCCATGGACCAATAACCTGCATACTCAGAAGTGGGCAACTCCTGTTGTTACTTTAAAGTATTCTAGTCCCGTTGTCTGGTGCATATGGGTACTACTAAGCTTGAAGATGAATGCTTGTGTCTCAGAGTTCCCTAGCCTCTAAACGTCTAACTTTTTCTTTTACAGAAATCCTTAACAAGATTGCTAAAACGCTAACTCCCCACTGGCCCTCCACCTGTGTAGGCTGGAAGACATTTAAGAGGCCTCAGAAGAGTACTGTGTGGCTACTTTTAGGATCACCAGGCTATTGAGGGCTGGGAATGAGCAAACCTTTGCCAAATAAACTCATTTACCAAGACTGGGTCTTAGGCCTTTTTTCACCCCCACTCTATCCCACTACCCTTGATTACCCTTATTATAACTCCCAATATTGTTCTCATTCTGCAATGTATATAAGCTTCTGACTTTTGCTGTCCTGTTTGGTAACCTTAAAACTGATGGGCTAATTTCATGGGCTTCACGGAATAGAATTTTATTTCTCACATGTCGTATTAATGTGGGGAACTGGCAAGTAGCCCTTTCATTCAGTTTTTCCGACAGCTGTTATCCAGTAAATTTATTTCTTATAGCAGTATGTGTAAATAATTCTAAAACTAGTTTTCCTATATATAAGATTAAACAAATAAGCAAATAACTGGTAGATGATCGGAGTCGGGTTTCTAACTTTCAGAAAAAATAAATTATAAATAAGTTGACCTAAGTAGCCGCAGGTGCCAGGCCTGCCTGGCAGGCTCAGTCTTTGAGTCTGCTCCAATACCAGGTCAACTTCAGAGGCCCCAGGCTCTAAATAGGCCCCAGTGCCAGATAGGCCCCAATATCCCTGGCTTCATGCCCATGCCAGGCCCACCCCAAGGCAAGGCCAGCCCCAAGGCCATCATCTCTGGACCTCCCCTGGTACTAGGCTGGCCCTGATGGACTCAGGCTTCAGGCCCACCCCAGTGCCAGGTCAGAACCCCTGGCCTTAAACACCAGGCAGGTACCCATAGATACAAGCTCCAGGCCTGTCCAGTGCCAGGCCAGTCTCTGCAGCCCAACCCCCCAGTCAAACCAAGGTCCAGTTCTGTCCAGTAGACCCAATAGCTGGACCAACCCCCCACATGCCTAGGCTTCAGGACAGCCCCAGTGGCTCCCGGCACCAGGCCAGTGCCCATGATCCAAGGCTCTGTACCAGCTTCAGCACCAGGCTGCCCCCAGACTCCAGGTCAATCCCCATGGCTCTAAGTTCCAGTGGACCCAGAATCTAGGCCTGATCCAGTAGACCCAGGGTACAGGCCCACCCCAGTATACCCAAGTGCTAGGCCAGATCCCATAGACGGAAGCTCCTAGAATACCCCTTCAGACTCAGGCTCCAAGATAGCCTCAGTAGACACAGGCTCCAGACCCATCCCACAGTCTCAGGTGTCAGCCCCCAACCAGAATTTGGCCACTCTTGGCAGACTCAGACTCAAGACCCACCCAAGAACCAGGTTGGCTCCTGTGGACTCAGGCATCAGGCCGGCTTCCATGGATATGGGCTCTAGTCCTGCCCTTATGAACCTAGGCTCCAGGCCCAATCCTATAGACCAAATCAGCAGGTCTATGCCAGTGGATTGAGACTTTGAGCCCAATCCTGGGGATCCAAACACTAGGCCCAGCTACCTGCTAACCTAGGTATCAGGCCAGCCTGTGTAAGGATTCTAGCAGCAAGCTCATCCTTGGACTGTGCCAGATAGCCTGTTCATAATCTCTGGACAAGCTGACTGATGAAAGGCTTTTCTAGATAAAACCAGTCTGCAAAGACTGGAATAAGTCCCTACTTCTTCAAATGCACAGAGATCAACATAAGGCAAACAAACAAACAAACAAACACAAACAAGAAAAATGAAAGTGACATAACACTACCAAGAAAACCAAATAATCTCCCAGTAGCTGACACCAAAGAAATGGAAGCATATGAACTGCCTCACGAAGAATTCAAAGCAATTGTTTAAAGGAAGCTCAGTGAACTTCAGGAAATAGAGAGAAGTGAGCAAAGGGAAAGTCCAGAGGAAACATCCTCTTCTAGCCACATCATATCCTCTCACTCTTGTGGCCTTGGATGTGTCACCTGACATCCCTGGGACTCACTATCCTCATTGTAAAGACATAGCAATCTGAACCTCACAAAGAGATTGGGAGCAGGGGGTGGGGGTGCACCAAGGCTAAGGAGAGGAGAGCAGTCTCTGGGGGCCTCCCACTCTGTGCCCCAGGTTCTGACCTCCACCTAGCTCACGCTTAACAGGGTGACTCCAGGGTGAGGAGTGTTCTCCTTAGCACTGGGAAATGCTGCACATGAGCAGTTTCTCCCCCTGGGAGTACTGGTTCAGTGAGCAGAGCAGCAGGGGGGCTGTGCCTCCTGGAGGTTGCAGGGGTGTGCAGGCCAAGGAGAGAGAGAGCAGAGAAGTATAACCAGGGAGAGAAATCAGAGACCGGAGCCCAAGAAGGGCAGGGCATCTGTGGGGGCTGCACTGGGTTCTCAATGATCACAAGCACTGGGAATAAAAAAGCCAGAGTCCCTGGGCATTTGTTCTGGTTTATTTGACAGGAACAAGGAGTTCAAACAGTGGGGAGGACAGCAGTCCTTGTGCCTGTGATATGAGGTCTTCCTGCTTCAGACATGGGCATAGTCCCTGAATACAAGGGTGTGGGGAGCAGGATGCAGAGCCCAGCCCATCCCTCACTCACAGGGTGCTTAGGCAAACATTGCCGCAGAAGGTTGAACAGCATACATTATTTGCTTGACAGTCTCTGTGAGATTCACAGAGGTGTTTGCACAGATAAAATGCAGGACGTTTCTTACAGACTTTGATTTCTGGGAAAAGCTCCATTTCTGAAAATGAGTGGAAGAGTGGTGAATGAAAGCAGGTGCCCAGAAATGACCCTTCTCAAGCTTCAAGCTCTTCCAGGTCCCCAGGAGCAAGGTCCCATTCAGGACACTCCTGGACTTTTCAGAGAACAACCTCCTCCTGCCCATCTCCAAATCCTAGTGATTGGTAGCATTTTAAATCCTCTCTCCCCACCTTCCCCTTACCCCTCAAAGACCTCAATGCCTGGACTTTGTAATCTCCTTCATACACCTGCCTCCAGGACACTATCTCTCCTATTAGCCCTGGCCTGGCTGAAGTCACCCCCATAGAATCTATACTTTGAACCTGGGAGCTCAAAGAAACTCTTTGATCTCTTTGATCTTCCAAACCCTCCCTCACTCTCAGAATCTGCAGGGTCCAGAGAGGAAGGTGAACTTGCCTCTTGTCCCTGTCTCCTGTCCTCACTGTCACTGTGTCCAGGACCCTGCCCCTTCACTAGTTCCCCTCCCACCACCACCCTCCTGGGCCTTCCAATGATAAGGTTAACTTTCCCTGTACACCCCAAATTTCGCCTGCTCTGTGTCTTTCTTTCTACACCTGTGCCCATCTCTACACCTACACATACCCCGTAACCATCCCCAGATGTTTACTCCCCACAAATGCGCGTGCATTAAGTAATAATTGTCTTGTTTTCTCATCATATTCTCAGCCCTGATGCACCTTTCACTCTAGTATGGACCATGGGTCTCTGGTCTTTTGGAATGGACAAGAAAAGATGCAGGTTTCCCCTTCCCTCCCATTACTATTCCCAGAGCTGGGTAAAGGGCTGGAGGACTGTGGTTTGGGGCGGCCCGGAGTCTGCACAGCGCTGTGGTCAGAGCTGGATGTGCAGAGAGGTACCAACTGCCAGGCCCTCCTCAGAGTGGCCAGAGCCCCTCATTGCTCCCTCCCCAGATCCCCCCACCCCCTGCCAGCCCGTCACCTACTGGATGTAGTCTGCATCCTCTTCCGGCTGTGGCTCCTGTGGCCTGCCTGGGCCTGCAGCAGCAGCGCACACAGAAGCAGGACGGGCAGCAGAGCCTGGGACGGCATGACTCTGACCACAGCGTGAGCCCTGCGTCTGGCCAGGATGCCAGGAGAGGGAAGGAAAGAAAGAAGGGATGATCCTCAGCCCCTCGCTGCCTCCCCTGGGCCAGCCAGGGCAGTGCCAGGCAGTCCTTGCTTCCTCCCTTTCATGTGTCCCTTAGCCTGTCCTCCTCTGTGTGGGATGGGGCTTCTGCAGGAATGACGCCTCCTCTCACGCAACCAGCCCTCTCTCCTTGCTGACAGCATTTTTCTTCTCCGAAAGACGTCATTTATTTCTTCTTTTTGGTTACACAATATTTTACAGAAAAGAGAAAATATGAATTTTTAAATCTATCCTCTGCCACCCTCATTTAATTATGCAAATATTTCACAAAATGTGGTTTTCCATAATTATACAGCTCTCACTTAAATGCCAATAGTCAAGTATTTGTGTTGAACTAGTTACTGATATGCTAGACAGTGTCACATTGAGCAGTTTTGATCATAATCCCTTGACTACTTTAGACTAAAGTAACAGACGCAGAATTCCTGAGTACAAGAGTAAATGTGTATTTCATATATAAATATATCAGTACGTACATGTATATACATATACAAATACATATACATATATATGTACATAACAGATGTATATGGGGGGGAGAGACAGAGAGAGAGACTGACTAGTGGGGGGCGTGCAAAGAAGGTGCTAAGGGGGCAACCAGTAAATGTCTTAGGGACGGGGGAGGTGGGCTGTCCAGGAGGAGGTGGTCACTGACCTGGAAAATTGTGGGGGAAATGGGATCTCTGAAGTAGAGATGTTTATCTTCCCCTAACAGGAGAAAGAGGGGACAACTTGGGGGCAATGGATTCTCAATAGGCACAGAAGCTGGGAAGAAGGTGGTGGGAAAGATTTGATACTCTGAGGTAGTAATGCAGATTTAGGGGGTACAAATTTTTTGTTGTTGTTACATGGATGAATTGCATAGTGGTGAAGTCAGGCCGTTTGGTGTACTCATCACCTGAATAGTGTACATTGTACCCGATGGGTCATTTTTCATCCCTCACTTCCCACCCTGTCTCCTTCTCAGTCTCGAGTGTCCATTATGCCTCTGTGTGTGCCCATACATACCCATCACTTTGTTCCCACTTGTAAGCGAGAACATGTGGTATTTGTTTTTCCATTCCTGAGATACTTCACTTAGGATAATGGTCTCCATTTCTATCCAAGCTGCTGCAAAATACAGTATTTCATTCTTTTTTATGGCTGGGTAGTACTCCATGGTATGTATATGTATGTATGCTTACATATATATGCCCGTGTGTGCACACCACATTTTCTTTATCCACTTATCAGTTGATGGGCACTTAGGTTGATTCCATGTCTTTGCAATTGTGTATTGTACTGCGATAAACATATGTGTGCAGGTGTCTTTTTTAGATAATTTGCTCTAGAGTCCTGTTTAAGTCTAGTGTTTCTTTGTTGACTTTTTGCCTCAATGATCTGTCTAGTTCTGCCAGTGGAGTGTTGAATTCTCCCATTATTATTGTGTTACTGCTGAAATGTAACATTTATATGCACCAGGAAACCAGAAAATTCTTGTGACTTGTTTTATTGTGATATTTGTTTTATTGTAGTGGTCTGGAACCAAACCTGCAGTATCTTTGAGGTATGCCTGTATCCTAGGGAGAATTGCTCACATACAGACATCTCATGTCCCTAGAAAATATTCCTGCAGACAAGGTTTTAGAAAAGGAAATCTGCTCCTTGGAAGCCCCTGCCTCTTGCCTGCTTGACTCTTTTCTAGTGAGCTCCAAAGCATGTATATGTGTGCCCAATACAGTGCCCCTCTCTGGCATTGGTGAACAAGTCAACCCCAACCAACAAGCCCGTGCCAAGATCTTGGTGCTAGATTTGATTGCTTTACTGCCTTCATTTGCTAGGTTGTCATCTACCATTTCTAAAATTCTTTCTATTCAGTTTCCTTTTATCTACATAAAAGTCAGAGTGCATTTGGTAGGAAAAGATGTTATGCTTTGATTGGCAAAGGAGAATCAATACCGAGAAAGATGGAATACTAAATAAGACACTCAAAAAATTCAAAGATAGATGTAGACTCTGTCCTTAACGCCCTACCTATGGATGGACACAGCTAGATTCTGGGGACAAGTAACTTGGTTCTGCTCGGGGTGGCCAGAGCTGCAACCGAGGTACACAATGTTCTTCCCAGCTTATTAGAAGATCCCACTTGCCGCTAAGAAGATCTAGTACTTCTGGATGGGTATCAAAGGAAAGAGCTTGTGATGCGACCGACATGTAGTTCCTGGGTAGTACTCAACAATCTATCACAACCCAAATCTCCATTCAGTTCTTGGCTGTGGGACATTGAGTGCATTGAGTGTTTTTTTTTTTTTCCGCTCTTCTTCCCCCTGTTCTAGCTCCCACCCCCACCCCATAATAAGAGGTCAGATAGAAGAGCTGTCAGACAATTACCACAGACATTTATCTCAGACAGTTTCAGAGGTAGGTGGTGGGAAGGGTCTTGAGCTTTTATTTGTGGCTTGCTTGGATGAGTTCCCAGCTCAGATGATGTCAACACCATTCCTATGAGGTGGGGATTATTGTCTCTTTCATTTAAATAAGAAAATTGAGGCCAGGCATGGTGGTTCATGCCTATAATCGTAGCACTCTGGGAGGCTGAGGTGGGCGGATAGCTCAAGGTCAGGAGTTCGAAACCAGCCTGAGTAAGAGTGAGACCCTGTCTCTACTAAATATTGAAAGAAATTAATTGTCCAACTAAATATATGTAGAAAAAATTAGCTGGGCATGGTGGTGCATGCCTATAGTCCCAGCTACTTGGGAGGCTGAGGCAGGAGGATTGCTTGAGCCCAGGAGTTTGAGGTTGCTGTGAGCTAGGCTGACACCACGGCACTCTAGCTCGGGCAACAGAGTGAGACTCTCTCTCAAAAAAAAAAAAAAATTGAGAGAGAGGTGACACGACCTGTCTGAGGTTCCGTAGGTAAAAAGGACAGAGATTAAACAGAATACCAGCATTCTTGCCTCTAAACCCAGTACAGTCTCTTCTTTAGCATTATGTGCATCGGGTGTCGGGCAGATGGGAGGGGGAGAAAGGGATGAATAAATTCACACCTAATAGGTACGGTGCATGATGTCTGGGGGTTGGGCACACTTGCAGCTCTGACTTGGGCAGTGCAAAGGCAATATATAACCAAAGCATTTGTACTCCCCACATAATATTCTGAAATAAAAAATAAAGGAAAAAAATTATCTGGAAAGCGCAGGGTCTCAAATTTTGGAGGTGTGGGGGGCTCAGTAGTTCTGAGTCTTTCTGATGCCTGGGGGCATCAGAAATTGTCCTGCACTCTATTTCACCATCACCGAGGAAGTCACCCAGAACTCTGCATGTGAGAAGTAGCCATCCCGGGCCTGATGATGTTTCTCTTCTCTGGGATCATCTAGTACGTATGAGGCGTGCAAAGGAGGGCGTTGGGCATCCCCAGGATCCTAAGCCACTTTTTGGGGCAAGTAGGAACTCAAAAACACTAGAATAAGAATGAGGCCTTATAAACGAACAGATCTCAAAGCTCTGGAAAACTTGGGTCTAGGGTGATACTTTTTAATACAGAGAAACCGCCTCATCGAGCCCATTGCTTTGGATTTATTGTGTTCCTGTCACAGCATGCCTGCCTTCCTCCTTCTTTATTCAAAAGGCAGGTACCGAGAATCCAGAGGCCCCCTCTCACCCTCACATTCCACCTGTAAGTGGACAACAGAGCGTCTGCTTTGCACACCTGTTTTGCCATGTGCTGGTGTAGTCACGTGATCAGGAGAACGCTCTGAGCTTCAGGCTCAAGTCTGCCTCAGCGTGGCTCAAGGAAGGAAAATTGGCTAGTTAAGATGTTGGGACTTCACTAGGTACAGTGGCTCATGGCTGTAATCCAAGTACTTTGGGAGGTTGAGGCAGGAGGATTGCTTGAGCAAGGAGTTTGAGACCAGCCTGGGTAACGCAGCAAGACCTCATTTCATATATATATATATATATATGTATATATATATATACTAACTGAGTATGGTGGCATGTACCTGTAGTCCTAGCTACTCAGGAGGCTGAAGGAATAGGATTGCTTGAATCCCGGAGTTTGAGGCTATAGTGTGCTATGATTGTGCCAGCCTGAGCAACAGAGACTCTGTCTCTAAAAAAAAAAAACAAATAAAGATATAGGCATCTAAGAGTGGAAGCCCCCAAACATCTGGTCTTTCATAATTTAAAAGGACTTCTCTTCTCCTTTTCTTTCTCTCCCTAATCTCCTGCTCTTGCATCTAATGATTCACGTGCCTAAAACTTGTATTTTTCCCACTTCCCAATTTTATATATGCCAAGAGGAGAATGAGTTTTCAAAAGCCCCTTTGAGAAATTCTGTTCCTGATTTCTAGTATAACACTTGCTTTTGAGCAGGTGGATTCGTCTGGAGCGGCATTGTTTCATGACTTTCTACGTCTCAGCTGTCAAATATGACAGCCACTAGCCGCATGTGGCCATGGAATACTTAAAACGACTAGAAACTGAATTTTAATTTAATTGAATGCATTTAAATAGTTACACGTGGCAAGTGGGCACCATATTGGAACCTCTTTTGCTTGGTTGAAAACTTCTGAACATATATAAAGACTTTCAAGGAGAGGGACAATCTCTATTACTACGCAATTCACAACAGAATTTTACTCCTTTCTTTGACTCTTATTTTCTTTCCTATTTGGTTCCAGGAAGGTAAAGCACCAAATAGAGAAAGAAGGGAGCAGATGGAAGAGGGCTGGGAATTTTGAATGGTAATTAAGGCTTCTCAGCCGGGCGTGGTGGTTCACACCTGTAATCTTAACATTCTGGGAGGCCGAGGCGGGAGGATCGTTTGAGCTCAGGAGTTCAAAACCAGCCTGAGCAAGAGTGAGACTCCATCTCTACTAAAAATAGAAAGAAATTAGCTGGACAACTGAAAATATATAGAAAAAATTAGCCGG